GAGGGTATGTATTGTGGGGAGCATTGTGTATTGTGTAAGACTGATGAATCACAGACCTGTACCCCTGAAACAAATAATACATTATTTGTTAATAGAAAAATTAAAATAAATAAATAAATAAATAAATTTTGAGGTGTTAAAAAAAAAAAAAGGGAAATCCTCCCGAAAGGAAGTACAGGAAACCTGGGAACCCCAGCTCATAGCTACAGTCAAGTCTCTGACCGACACGTCCTAATGTAAGGACTAGAAGAGACTAGACCTCAGACCCTGTGCCCCATGAAGACTGAAAAGCAAGGGATGACTGTCGAGTTCAACCCTGATGCGTTTCCCTAACTTCCTGCTGGAGGCGCCAGGCTGTCCCCTTGAGGGTGAGGGGCGCCGCGCACACCGCCTGGATACCTGGTCCTTTACCGCCACACCTGACACTCTGCACACACCTACTACTTCACCTTCTCTTCATACACCGCCTGAGGGGCTTGAGAAGGTCCCAGCAGTGTCTCTTCCAGACGGGAATCGAATGGAGGAGAATCAAGGGATCTGATGCAGGGTGAAGACCAGCAGAGGCGGGTTAGAAGGGAGTCTCTGCCTCCCCAGAGCCTCCTTGGGAGGTGGCCCACACGGGGTGTCCTTGCCACGGGCAAGCGCTGCCCCCCAGATGCTGCCCCACAGAAGAGCTGACCCAGCAAAACCACCACGGAAGTTCTACGCAAGGCCGACTTCGGGGGGGACGCGGACCAGCCCGGAGCAGAGGCCCGGACCCTGCGCCCTGGCCCCACACGCTTGAAGCCAAGCCGTCACTGCCGCTGGGCTCCAGAATCCCACAGACCCCCCATAAAAACTTCTCTTTGGAATTAGCTTTCTATTAAGAACACTCCTCACGGCACCAGCAATTTTCGTGAACGTGAAGCATGGGAAACTTCGTCGGAAAACCTGGAGGGCTGAGGCCATGCCCCTCGGCGGCTGCCTCACGCCAGGAAAACACACGGGAGCACGCTAGCGCCTCAGAGAATTCAGGCTGGTGAGAAACACCTTTCCTCAGACCTCTACAACGAGGCAAGAGATGGGGAACGCCTTTGTTACTCCTAAAACTCCTAAGGGAAGCCGGGTTTTTGTGACCTGTCTCACGGGGCCCATTACTCTAGGGCGCTCATGGGAGACCACGAGGCTCTCTAAGGGTCAGTCCCGCGGCCCCTCACCCCTGGTACTGCCACAGCCTGAGACACAATATGCCACAGAGCCAGGGGCACGAGCCACGAGCGCCAGCGCAGGCCTCGCCCCCCCCCACGCCGCTGCGTCTCGTGGGCACATCTTGAACCTCCCCAGACCTCCGCTCCCTCCTTCCTAGCAGCTGGAGACCAAGAGATTCCCACAGCCTTCCGGAGACACTTCCTAATGTGCTGTCCCCACGAGAACAGGCATGAGCAGCGCCAGCCCTGACGGGGACCTGAACTAGCTGTAGTGACCCCAAAAGTAACTTGCACATTTAGAAAACACTGAAACCGAACAAATTTTCCGGCCAATCATATATTTACCTGAAAATTTAATTAAACAAAAATTACAGTAACAGAGGCCTTGTACGTATCTGCTAACGCCACAAGACTTAGAGAGGAGCCCTGAGCCTTGGTAAATTCAGCCGTGCCCAGGAGCATGCACACGACCGAGGCGGCTCGGAAGGACCGCTCACACAGCTACAGAGTGGGCCCCCTGTCTTCAAAAAACACCCAAATGCACACACTCAGCCCGAGGCGAGAACAGTGCACCTCGGAACCCCAGCAAAAACTGGTGTCGGTTTGGGTTTCTACTGGGAATGCCCGAGTGGCTTCACTTTACCGCAGTGCTGGAGAGAAGCAGAGTCCCAATCACACTGCGACAAAGACGGGAAACACGTTCGAGAACCACAAACTCTTCTTAAAGACAGAGGTTTTCAAGGAGGACTTTACCTTTTTGTCGGGTTTGTCGTGCTCTCTGGTCTTCTCCCTGTCGGGGTCTCTGGAGTGCTCCCCGTCCTTCACCCTCCGCCTGTCCCTGTCCCGGGCCTTGTCCTGCTCGCGCTCCCTCTCCCGGTCTTTCCACCTCTCTTTCTCCTTTCCTCCCTCGTTCCTTTTCTCTCTTGCGCGGTCCAGGTCTTTGTCACGGTCCCTGTTGCCTCGGTCTCTGTCCTGCTTGGCCCGGTTTCTGACTCGTTCTCTCTCCCCCTCTCGGTGCTTGTCTCGCTCAGGATCTTTATGTCTATCACGGTCGGTCTCCTTCGTCTTCTCCTTCTCCTTGTCCTTCTCTCTTGCTTTGCTTTCTTCCTTCACTTCTTCTTTCTGTTTTCGATCTCTGCTTGTACTTCTCTCGTTTATTTCAGAGTTCCTTTTATCCTGGAAAGAAGGTCAAACAACAGTATCACTTACAAATGTCTTCATCTGAACTATAAAAAGACTCATTATTTCATTTTTGAATATGTGCAATTTGCAAGTCACCTCTTTATCTTTATGAACTCTGGGCTCTTCTTCTCGTGCATTCTTATTGTCCAATTCCTGAGCTTTTGACGTCAGTGAGGTCCTTCCCTTCAGGACCCCCTTCTCTCCAGCCAACACTCTCTTCACCGCCTCGTCGCTGGAGAGCTTGCAGTCCAAGTGGGAGGAAATTAAACACACAGTGAAAATGAGATCAACACAAGTGACAATTGCGAGCATCTGCATTCATAGACGGTTCACTAAACACGTTAAACACGTGGACATGAAAGTCAAAGGATAAAATATTAGAAGGAAATGCTGTCATCACCAAGTACAGCATCACCTCCAACACTTTACACGTGAACAGCAGAGCAGACCCTAGCTAAGCAAATCGCACTTCAATCCCCTGAGCTGTCGAGTGTGGACGTGTGTGTCGTTCAAGGACAGCCTAGCGCTCTGCGCGACCCCACAAACGCCTTACACCTCTCACAAGGTCAGAGGCCAGCACTGACAGGGCCTCACAGAATGATCTAACTCAAGCTCCATCACACACCAAAACCCTTCTGCAGCATCTCTGACTCTGCGCAGAAGCTTTGAACACCTCCAGGCAGGAATCCCACTCACTCACACACTCATTCCACGAGGACGCACTGAGTGACCATCACTCGCCAGGCACTAGACGCCAGGTTGAGGACACGCTGTGTATCGGGGGAGAGGCCAGATGCAGCAGTTAAACATGGGTGTGCCTAAGCCAGCCTGGGAGAGAGGAAAGGCCAGGGCTCCCAGACCAGCAACCGATCCCCCACTGCTGCCAGACGAAGAAATGAGGGCTCCTGACCAGTGCAAGGGGTCTCAGGGTGCAGGCATGGGTGCGGGAGCTGAGAAAGAACTGGAGGGGAGGGCGTAGCCACAGCTCTTGAGGACGCTTGTGAGCCATGCCACGGAGCTGGCTGGGCCCAGGGGCAACAGGAAGCTGGCAAAGGATTCAGCAGGGAAGACAGGAGTCAAATGTGCTTTGAAAGAGAAGTAACAGGAAGCATGCAGGGGTGGGGACTGGGTACAGAAGCCAGGGCACTGGCAAAATCAGCTGCGTGCCTCTGAGCCTGAGATCTGGATGCAGACCAGGGCAAGACTCTCTCGAGGCCTCCTTGGAGCCACCACCTCCCACCCCCACCCCTGCCATGTGAGCTGAAACCCACCCTCTTTCCCATTTTGGTAACATGGAAAGTTAGCCCCAGCCCACAACCCAACAGGTACACGAAGGGCTCTACTAGCTATGCCCTCTGCCCTCGGGGGCGATGCGGCTCCCACAAAGAAGAAAGGCCCTGGAGATGCCCTGCCGGCACCGCCAAACCTAGATGCCCTCTGGCGTCCCTAGTGAGGACAGCCTGGGCTGGATCTAAGCAGAGACGCCAAGTTTCCAACCCACAGTGAGGATCTCAGGAAGTAGCGAATCAGTCCCTACACAAGAGACTCAGGATTACTTTGAAGGTGGCACAGCTCTGCTGTCAATAGCCAGGAGGGAAAGAGGACCAGAAGAACAGAGTGCAAGGGGGAGGGAGGAGAGTGGAAGGAAGGAATGGAAGGAGAGAAGCAGACCCTGGAGGCTGGAAAGGCAGGCAGAGAACAGGAGCGTCCCATAAGCCCCAAAGCAGCAGCACAGCAGGTCCTCCAGCCCCCAGACCCTACCCTGGAAGGAGGCCCAAAAGGAGAAGGCAGGCAGGGCTTGGCTGCCGGGCATGCCGCCCCCTGCCCCTGCCCCTGCCCCAAGAGCCAGTGTCTGTGAAGTTCCCTCGTTCATACTTGGCGTACCTTTGTTTCACTGTATAGTTTTAATCACCCCTTCGGGAACTCTGAGGCTCCAAAGCACAGCGCTTGGCAGACACCACCAAACACTCCTTCCTGAGACACTGCCCACTACCCTGCGGTCGCCTACCATCCCATCTTGTCTTTCAGGACTGCTGGGTCTAAACTCTGGCACCTCCGCATTACCTTGCTGAGACAGCATTTTCCAATTCTCTGGAGCAGCTCGTTTGTTCTTTCAGGCTCGTGCCCGGCCACGATCCGCGCTGGTTTTGCGGACAGTGGCTCTCCTGAAACCATCACCACCACGTCTATGGCCTTCTGAAGGAAGCTAATTTTTGCATCTTTATCCTGAAAGATTTCCATTTAAAATACAAATAAAAAGTACTTCCAAAAAAGTTTCCACCATCTTCGGTATGCTCAACAGGCACAGTTACTATTTATATCATGTCAGATTTGGAAATACTCACTCTTTGTAACAAAAGAAAAACATTAAGGCTTTTAATTTTAGTTGGTAGTAGGCTAGCAGAAACCTTTGAAACACTAGTTCCATTTCTCAGTGGATAAAATTAGCATGATATGCAGTTGGCAAAAATAAGAAAATGAAATGAGAAAGGGTATACCACAATTCACGAATTAATCAACCTTGTATTTCAACACACATCAGCATATAAATGACACACATCCAGTTCACAGCTTACAGAAAACCCACTTGTTAGGGTGAGGGGCAACCACCCCCAAGCCTACCTTAACGTTATCGGACTTCAGCTCGGCGTCTGTGTAGAGACCCTTCATGAAACCGGTCATCCTAATCACCTTCAAAAGATCAAGGCCGTGGTCAGCACCTCACAGGGCAGCCTCTTCATCACCCTCACTCCCTGAACCCCACACTGTCAGGAGCTGTCGGAGTCCGTCCATACCCAGGATTTAATTCCTTCACTTACTCAACAAGCTTCTGAGTGTCTACTATACGGGAGGCCTTTTACCAGGCAGAAGCCAGCCTGGAGGTGCAGACAGGTAAACATCTCAAAGACTTGCAGGGTGCTAAGTCCCTAATCCAAACACAGGAGGGGCGAGGGTGTCAGAGGAAGTTTCCCAGAAGACATGGTATCTACACCGAGACCACAGGCTGAGTAGGGGGCGGGGGTGTTTAGGACCCATGTCCCAGGCTAAACCATCCCTGCAAAAGGTCCTGGGCCCAGAGGGTCCCGTTCAAGGGAGCAAAAAAAAGTTCAGGGCAGGAGGAGCCTGAGGCCAGAGTCCGGCGGGGCCAGAGTCAGGCAGGGCCTGACCCAGATGGCCTTCAAAGATGCTCAGGAATACGGACTTTGGCCTAAGGACTACGAGGAGGCCCTGAAAGGTTCAGAAGCAGGGGGACAGCATCTTACAAGGGTCACTCAAGCCCAGTGGAGAGAATGGATTCTGGAAAGGACAGGAATTTCTCAGCCTGGGTTTCTGAACCTGGATGGAAAGGTCTTTCTCCTCACTCACTTGCTACAACAGGGGGGTGCTCTGTGCAACTGTCACTTTTGTTCTCTCCCTGCCTGTCCTTCCCCTCAGTCAACCTGTAGCTCCCCATTACCCTGAATCAGCTTTAGGGGTGGTGATTTTCCCTGTTCCTCCCCGCACCCACACACAGCCAGGCTCCTCGTTCTCTCAGACCAGAGTTTTTCAAAATGCAAGAAGTTGCTGTAAAATCAACATAATGGGTAGCAATAAGCTTTTTTTTTTTTTCAAAAAAGAAAACGTCAGCTGCATTGTATATAGGAAGCATGAATACACCTACACGTGTATGTCCTGGATGGATATAAAGCATATGTATTAGTGCAAGACATGTTTGTTGGAAAAAAGACAGTCCCATGCTAACATCAGGCTATTTCTCTGAGACCAAGCACACCTCACTACTAACTAAACTGGCTCTCATTCCTCATCAACTACCTAAGAGTTGTGCTACTATTTCTCCTGAGAAGACAGATGGACTATTAAGAGTATCCCGCACTGAATATTCCTAGAGCCTTTTCATTTTGTCTCTTCTGGGGTTTTCCTACTTTGCTGGCAGTTAAAATCGTGAACAATACTTTTAAGGGACAAGAAACATTAACCTTGTAAGATCAATGCTTTGATTTATGAAAAAGAGAGTTAGTTTAGCTGTAGCTAAATTACTAATATGGTGACTTGTGAAAACAATACTCAGAGAGTTAAGAATTTTCAGGAGGCTCTTCACCTCTTACCTGAAAATGCTTTCCAATATGCCAATCATTCTAACAAGTAGGTGACAATTAATATATTTACCTTTACATAGGCAGAGAAATTAATTTCAGAATTAGATTAAGAAGAAAACACTGGTTCCTGATTGGGAACCTGCAACTGCTTCCACACAGCCTGGCTACTGGTCCACCAAGTCAATTTCTGCTTGAATGTCCCTCCTCCTTCCCCATCCTGAGGCACTCTGACCTTCCAGGAGCCCAGTGCCACACCAAGACCCAAAGGAGGAGGCCTATCCCCGCTACCTCCTCCCGGGCTCTCCATTTCAGTGGGGAGACAGGACTAACACAGAAGATACAAGTGTGAGGGTATGGTAACAACTGCTGTAGTCAGGCAGGCTCACCTGCTGGCTAACTCACTTCTTCCCTTCTGGGTTCGGGGGCGCTACCTGCCTACTTCATGGGTAAGGCAGCGCACAGCCCAGCTCCCACTGGGCTCTCCTCACAGCCGTGTCCCTTCCCCAAACACTGCCCAAGACAGGTGGAAGTGTTGCCCCAGCTACAGGAGGAAGTGGAGGCTGGACAAGACAGCGCTGGGATGTGCGTGGGATTGCAGAGAGTTCTAAGCACAATTAGGGTTTTCAACACAGAGGCACACATTATAAACTAAGTTGAGACAGCAAATGATTACGCAAAGCTTGTGGAGAATAATACACCCAACCTGTTGGAAAGAGTTAAGAAATGAAGTTTGAGGACCGATACGCAAAGCCCTCGGAAGTCTGCAAGTTCAACCTGATTCCTAAGTCCCAAAGACCACACCCATGTTCCTGAGTTCAATACCCTTCTTAGGTGCACCATGGAGATGAGTTACCAGGAGCCTAGACAGCCTCCTTCAACAATGAATGTGTGCTGTGCACCTTCTGCGCACCTTACCCAGCTCAGCTCACCCAGGATATGGCAACAACCAAGTAACTGCCTCCATCATTCGGTAATTCACCACCCACTGGGGAAAAGTTACAACCAGTCTCAACGGAGGTGAGGTTGTGCCCTTCATCAGCCAATGCCAACCTGCTCTTTCATAGCTTTCCCCTGGGGGTCCCACCACAACCACCTTCAATAAATTTATCCACAGGTATTTATTAAGCATCCAAACGTGATCACCATGCAGAGTAGTGTGGAGAAAAAGTGGGCGGGGGGGGGGGGCGCAAAAAACCACAGTAATTCTCCAGCGATTTCTGATCACCTTTCACGAGCTAGGCACTGAAGGGGGGGGAAACTCACAGAAAGGACTCCGCCGGGCTGCGTGGAAGAGGTGTGCTAACAGATCCAAGAGCGGTATGGAAAGAAGAATGTTCCCTGAGGGGCCGGAAGAGGCGGCCCAGCAGGAGGGGTGAGAAGGAAGGAGCAGGGCTGAGGGCGAGGAACTCCACGCAGAGGCACCGCGAAATTGGGCCCGGTGGGCGCTCCTCTGTCAGGGCCTGCGCTAGGCTATGGGAGGTCCGATTCGAACGCCAGCCCCGATCCCGGCCCGGCCTGCACCCCGCACCTGGGCCCTGACCTCCACCTGGGCCCTGACTCCCGGCCCGCACCAGGGCCCCGACCCCCACCCGGGGCCCCGACCCTTGGCCGCACCGCGGCCCCCGGCCCGCACCTGGGTCCCGACCCCCACCCGGGTCGCTGCCCTCGGCCCGCACCCGGCCTCCGGCCCGGCGCCCACCTCCGTGATGATGTCGTGCAGGTAGCGGAACGGGGGCTTGCTCAGCAGCTTCTCCGTCAGCGGCGGCCTCCGGATCACCTTCCCCAGGGCCTCCTGCGTCCGCTTCACCACCGCGGCGTTCATGGCGGCGCC